ATTCTACTTCCGACTGCGTCCAAACTATCGATTTTCGTCATACCTCGTAGATTGTTCCAAACCCAAGAAAGATTGGCTCACGAGGAGCAGACTTGTTTTCGTTCTGGTCGAAGATGTATTGATAATAACTTCACCCTCCACCAAATGTTAGAACACCGTCATACTTATCACCGGCCAACAATCGGAGTGTTTCTTGATATCAGGGCTGCCTTCCATTCGTTGGACAGGGCTGTTGTCCGGGGTTGTATATTGAAGGGTGTACCTGAAAAGTGGGGATAAACAACGCTGCCCAATCTCACCATTTCTCTTCAACTTTGCTATCGGGGACGTTCTGGAAAACAGCTCTGATGGATGTGAGTAATGGTGATATGAACCTGTTACCTGGAGAAAGACTTTTCGACCTTGAGTATGCGGATGATATTGCCTTACTGTGTGATGAAACCCAAGTTATGCATTCCGCACTTAATCAGTTGGCGATTAGTTTCCGTCGATATGGCATGTGCATTGCACCTTTGAAGCGCAAAGTACTTTTACAAGGTTGGAAGGATCGTGATTCAACACTCACTCTGGGTAGTGAGCAGATAGAAGTAGTCGAGAAGTTCGTGTATCTGAGCAGCTGCATAATTTTTAGTGATGGCGTTAGTGATGACATCAATTCACATATAGTGAAAGCCAGAGCAGCTTATGCCAATTTGGGTCATCTTCAGAACCTTTGTGTTGTTAGCCTAGTTGTAAAAGGTCGGATGTACAACGCGTCGATGAGAGCAATTTTGCTCTATGTTTGTGAAACCTAGTCTTTCTGAGTTGAGGATGTTTGACGACTCTCTGTGTATGATCATCGTTGTTTTAGACCACTTGATGACTTTAAGTTGTAAACGAATAATTTACCCGAGCCACAAGTGATGCAAGGTGAGAAAAGCTAACCAAACCTTCTTGTTCAAGGAGATTAGAAGATTTTGTGTTTTGTCAATACCTTCACTAACAAAAACTATCTTCCAGGTATTTCAAGTAAATAAATGAATCTCTGAGTAAGTTTTTCCCAAAGTTGAATTCAACCCATAATCAAACCTTAGCTTGAAATAGGATAGATATCTTTATCAAAAGTCTAGAACAGAATCATTGTTTGATAGCTACAAAGCTATCTATTCATTTCTCTTTTGTTTCTAATACTTATGAACATATAACTATTATGATGAGTGAAGAAAACTCTTTATCATCACATAAAAAATTATCATAATTAGAATTTTTTCCCTGGTATAAGACAATTCTACATTATTCACCCTCTATTAGTTTTTTTAAAAAAATACATACTTTTTTGCATTACATGTAGAATGTATGTCTGGTTAACATAGTAACAATAAGTAAGAGACAAGTTGTGACAGTACATACAATCAAAAGGAGTATCGATAATGAAAAAGTTTATATAATAAACGTATGTATCCATTCAATAAGTTAGAAATAAAAATCATGTAACCCAAAGTACGTTGTAATTGTGTTCATTTGTAATTAAGGGATTGATAACTTATTGAAGATTATATGACCATAACCAATGACAATAAAAGTGGAGGAGGATATCAGCAACATTTTCAATGTTCAATAGAGATGTTCATCTTAGAGCTTTAGGCTATATCTTCATTTGTTAATCGATTGAGTGTTGTGTATATTAAAGCATAATTAGTACTAGAGATTTAACTTTAAGTCTTAACTTTCCTCTATTTGTGTTCTTAACCTGGGATAATACTTACTTACGCCTGTTACTCCAAATGGAGCATAGGTCGCCGATCAACATCCTCTACCAACCCACTCTATCCTCGGCCTTCCTTTCTAGTTCTAACCTGGGATAATGGTCTAAGCTAAATTGAAATATATAGAACAGGCCAACCAGGGAAAATACCAGATGATTGAAATGAAGACTCAAACAAAACTTATATTAGACTATACAACAATCACGTATTAAATCAATGGATGATTACATTCATTATATATTGAAATCACTTAGCACCTAATATAATACAGAGCTCATCTATATATTTGAATATTTCATTTCGAATAGATTCATTGAAAACAGTGCATTTACTTCATGTAAGCAAATGAAGAAGGAGTGAATGTACACGAAAGTACACAATTTAAATTCTAATAATGATTTCATTTTGGAAAGACAAGAAAAGTATCATTACGATAAAACAACATCAAGACTTAAAGAGTATTGAATAACTTGTTTACCGAGTAATTACCTTAACAAATGTGTACACATCTATATGAGATTAAATCTACATTAACATAGACTAACATTATTACTACTAACACTACCTAGTCTGACAGAGAAGTAGAGGGAAATAGCAATCACACATGGAGAAATTCAGATGGGAACAATTTATTTATTTATTTGAACGCATAAATATTGATACAAAGGGGCACCGAATAAATATGCGCCACACGAATCACTTGATTTGTGTATGGGCTGTGATACTTCACGGGTACCTAAATCGAAGTAGGTGGTTTTCCTAGGAGGCCACACCCAGAGCCCTCAACCTAGAAATCTGATCCACAAAACAGTAGAACAACATCAGCAGATGTATTCTCATGGTAGCCGGTGACCAACAATTGTTCCCATGTGCACCATTGGTTTAGAATCTGAGTTCTCCAACGCCCTTCCATAAAGCGCCTGATATTCGCTTTCCGTCCTCTCAATTTGATAAACAATAGTAATGCCTCTAGAAGGCAGTGAGTAGGACTTCTGTGACAATCGCTGTATATCCGCGGCCATGTGAGAGTGAGATCTGACTCTCTCCACTCTCGGCCGTACCAGGGGCATTTGGAGACAAGTAATCTGTTTTGTTGTGTTTTATGACCTTTCAAAAGTGTGCATACATAACCTAACACACAAGGACCGTAATCCAGAATCATTTAGTCTTACACACACACACACACACACACACACACACACACACATAGAGCTCATTAACTTGACATTTACAATGTTAACTTATTAATTGAATCAAATTTATACGTGTTTGTAATATTAATAAAACAGATTAATAAGTTAATTCAACAATTTCATTTGACATTTTATGCTTTTATGTCATTAGAATTATACGGATAAGTAATTAATTAAAAAACAACTAAAGAATAACAAAATCAACCTATTAATTGTATGAATTAGAAGCTAACCATAACTCTACAATGAACGGAATGACATAATTAATGTAAACCTACAAACACTCGTTATTTGTTTTATTATACTTTAGAATTCCTTAAAACTTTCTATTCATAACTTTCCCAGGGATCAAAATCAAGAACCATCAATCCTTACGTCAAACATTTATCTTTCAGACAATTGTTTTGATATCCAATGGTATCTAACATTGTTTATTTATTTTAACACATAGATATTGGTACAAGGAGTCACCGAATACATATGCGCCACACAGATCTCATTGGATATATGTGAGGACTGTGATACTGCCCAGGTGCCCAAACCGATGTAGGTGGTTTTCTTAGGGAGCCCCACACCCGGAGCCTTCGACCTAAAGGTCTGATCCACAAAGCAGTGGAGCATCGTAAGGAGCTGCAATCTCATAGCAGCCAGTGACCAACGATTGGTTCATACGCCATTTGTTCCTTCAGGATACTGAAGCTAGCCCATGTGCAACATTGGTTTGGAATCCAGTTAAAGCACCGGACATTCGCTATTCGTACTCTCATTTTCGCAAACAACACCACGGCCACGTGAAGGCAGTGAGTAGGACTTCTCTGACAGAGGCTATATACGCGTGGCCATGTGAGAGCATTTCGAGAGGGAGAGCGGACTTTCCCCATTCTCGGCTGTACCAGGGCATTTGGGAGCACACTAACTCATAACCTCAACCTCCAATCGTAAGCTCTTTACCTTCATTGTAAGAAATAACTCACATAATAAGGTTCATGATACACTTCAAAACTCCTTAACCTTTGTAATTTTATGCTTTTTTTAAATCATAAATTGCACTGAACCAACAGACTATTTTCTGATTGGCGAATACAGTACACAAAGTTATTTGAAGTTTATAAGATCGTCCATTATAGTTTACTTATACTTAGATATCAGAGAAGTAAAAGTAGTAACAGCTATTGGTTGTTGTAGAAAACAGGAATGAACAATATAATTTCAGAAGGGTAAATATTCATAAAACAGAAAGATAAATAATAACTGTATTTGCATTTTTGTAACCTATTCTCAGCCACAACAGTCATCGTCGTCCACCATCGGTCATGATAATCGTAAGGACCCCGCGTTCAGGTAAATTTCACTGAACAATAAAACTTAATTCAACAGTCAATCACTTTGGGGGAATGATACCACGTTTCGGTTAGGTAGACCTTAGGTTTCTTCCATCCTGCTCCTACACCAGAAAACATCGTAGGTCGAGTTAGGCAATAACTACACAGTTTTTAACTGGTAATATCGCACTACCCAAAATGTTTCACAGTGTAATTGTTAATGACGTGTTATAAATAGATGGAATGACGTTTCAGTATATCTGCCTTTAGCATTCTCTCGAGTAAAGTACATTGAAGTCTCATTTTGATGCTCTAACTAAACTTTATTTCCTGAAGTACAAAGTTGTGAGGTAGTAGCTCACTGATGACTATGGTGGATGTGTCGCACAATTTCGTGGATAAGTCGAAGTTAGACATTAACACCGTTGGATGCCGTCCTGCTCAATGGTCTAGAGGTTAAGCGTTCGCGCGCGAGACTGATAGGTCCTGGGTTCAAATCCCGCTAGTGGGATCATGGATTCGCACTGCTGAGGTGTCCCACAATAAGACGAAACGGCCGTCCAGTGCTTCCAGGTTTCCCATGGTGTTCTAGCTTCAATTGACTCATGATCTCAACTATTGAAGTATAAAGTGCTAAGAAGAATAAAATATAATTTAATGATAAAATGAACATAACTCGTCATTGAAGAAACACATTTTAATTGACAAGAGAGAATAAGAACACCAATTAGATCACTTACTAGATACGCAAGTCGACGAATTAGAACGATCTAACTGTTGTAAGCTCGAAGAAAGACCCGATGTAGAACCTGTAGAAGCGACTAAAGCGACTAATGCAGCAGGTGATAGGCCAGTTTGATTACCCAATTCAATTAATTTATTTACACTTGCAGAAGAAACAACAACAGTACTGCCAGCTGAAGATGATGACGATGCCGATGTACTATTACTCAAGGCATTCAATATGGCTAACGACGAAGCGTTATTATCATTATTGGAATTGCCATCAGCGTTACCACCACCACCATCGCGAGATAGTGAAGATTCAGCATCAAGTCCTGTCGTAGCTGCTGCTGCAGCTGCTGCCGCCGCCGCTGCTGATGAGGAAAGTAGAGCGGCGGCAGCAGCAGCAGCGATAGATAAGGCACTTGTATCACCATTTGTTGCTTGACATAATAACATCCAACGTTCATTCTCTTCGGGATGAGCATTTTCGTAATGTCGTCGAAGTGAACGTGAATCACTATATGATTTATCACAGAAATGACACGCATGCGGCTTACGACTTTCATGTGTATACTTATGACCATTCCTAAAAGAGGAAAAAAGATCAATTCGAACGAGATAATGAACGAATAGATAAGTAATTAGGTAGGAAAACTGGAAGATAAAAACGTAGGTAGCTGGTGAAACTATTAATGAATGTACTTGTTAGTAATGGTAATTAATTCACCAAACTTTGTCAAAACATTCTTAGACAGATAATCCTTTCATCGTCTGACTTTCCACGTATCCGTGATCTATCAATGATTAAGGATGTTCGGTGAAATGACATAAAATTAGTTAAGCTGATGCACATGGATTTAGTTTGTCTTAAATATGTGTTGAAATTGTTTAAAAAATACAGTAGTGTCGGTTACTGTGTTAAGTCCACAAAACTTATTCTAGTTTCTGGACAAACCAATTTATTCATTATTCTGAAACCACATTTTGACCTTGTCATTTTTTCGCCTATCAACTTTGTTTTTATATGAGCGTATATGCGTACATTGATTTTCCTACTCATCACATGTCTGTAACTTATCTTCGTCTGACTATAAATAGAGATTCACGCTTGGTTAAGTTGAGTTGGCTCACACGCCCTCTTCACTAAGCATCATTTTGCTTCGCTCTCTCTTCACTTCGTTTCTTAGATCGTTTGTCTCTATTATCCATTGTACGAAATATACATATTCAAAAAACCATTCTCGTATCTGACTTATTTGGTTGGATTATTCACCAACACGAGTTAAGTCGAAAGTTTTATACAAGGATTGACGACATATATATTTCAATAGCGATCGATATACGATCCAAATGGATTCAGAACTCAGGTCACTAAAACACTACAATTTTTGTGAGTAATTACTATGAGTCAATTTAAAAAGCTTATGTAACCATTCATTTCAGTAATCGTACAGATATTCACAGAATTGAAATGATTCAGAAGATTCGCAACTCGAATAAATGCTTTATTTAGTATTATGTTCTTTGAACTAGTTGTATTAGACACTGATGTCGTAATCCCCAATTACGACGAAAGGGTACTAACAATATCAAGAACAACAAAAATCTTAATTTGAGCATTTTATGTTCTCTAAGAAATCAAAATGACATTTCCTAATTTGAGTTTTATTAAACTTATTCTGCTATTGGGTTGCAATATGCATTACCCTAAGTTGTCATGTCAAATTAATACGGAGAGAACAAACGAAATAGTCAAAATAATACCAACGCTAATGATGATTAGGAAGACTAAACACTGCCCCCCAAATGCCCTGGTATGGCCGATAGTGGAGAGAGTCAGCTTTCCCTCTCCAAATGCTCTCACATGGCCACGCGTATATAGCCTCTGTCAGAGAAGTCCTACTCACTGCCTTCACGTGGCCATGGTGATGTTTGCGAAAATGAGAGTACGAATAGCGAATGTCCGGTGCTTTAACTGGATTCCAAACCAATGGTGCACATGGGCTAGCTCCAGTATCCTGAAGGAACAAATAGCGTATGAACCAATTCTTGGTCACCGGCTTCCATAGGACTGTATCTCTTCACGATGCTCCACTGCCTTGTGGATCAGACCTGTAGGTCGAAGGCTCGAGGTGTGGCTCCCTAAGAAAACCTCCTGCTTCGGTTTGGGCACCTGGGCAGTATCACAGCCCTCACACATATCCAATGAGATCTGTGTGGCGCATATGTATTCGGTGCCTCCTTGTATCAATATCTATGTGTTAAAATAAATAATAAATAAAATAGACTAAACACTAGAGACTACTTGTTCAAAAAGCAGAGGCACATTAGAACAATAAAAAAAAATATGGAATGATATTGGAGCTCAAGATATGTAAAGGGATCTACGCTACAACAACCATATCACCTAAAGACCCAACAAACACCGATCATTGTTATCGCGAGAATTCTAACCAGGTTAGTTTACGCCTATCTATACGTCTTAATTCAATCTCACTCGCCTATTTATCTCTTCCGAAACTTTTAGCTTCACTGTTCTCCTAAGTTGTATACAAAAAGAGTTGAGTTCAGACAGATGTTTAGTTTAATATTTCACTGAATTACTAGTATTTTAAATGAAATCTTAATGTGAAATCTATCATTATTTATCACATTCAAATCATAATCTATCAACCCTTTCCATATCCTCCTAATATATCTTAACAAATCATGTAGTTGAACATCCGGATGATGGTTAAAAACGAGGAGAAAGAAAACAATCAAGAGAAGAGACAAAGAGAATCGACAGGAAAAAAAAAAGAAACTGAATAAGGTCAAAATAATAAAAGTACATTGTTTTATGATGAAAGATAAAGACAACAAGTCATGAATCACCAATTAACAAATAATAAAGATCAAAATTAGTAATATATATATATAAAGATACACATAGAAAATAGTAGTCATAAAACAAGTACATAATAGAACTATAGATAAATGTGAATTATTGTAAATTGATGAGTGAAGATAAAGGAATCATTTATATTTACATGGTTAAAGTTATTCCATGTTGTCTGTATGGCACAAACCAATATACTAGATGAAATTTTTATTTATTTGTTTTGATATATAGATATTGGTACAAGGAGGCACCAAACACATATGCGCTACACAGATCTCATTGGATATGTTTAAGGGCTGTGATACTGCCCAGGTGCCGAAACCGAAACACGTGGTTTTCTTAGGGGAGGACAGCCCGAGCCTTCGACCTGAACGTCTGACCCACAAAGCAGTGGAGCATCGTAAGGAGATGCAGTCCTATGGTAGCCAGCCGGTGACCAACGATTGGTTCATACGCCATTTGTTCCTTCAGGATACTGGAGCTGGAGCTAGCCCATGTGCACCATTGATTTGGGAGCACCGGACATTCGCTTTTCGTCCTCTCATTTTCGTAAACAACACCAGTGGTGCGAAAATACAGTGAGTAGGACTTCCCTGGTAGAGGCTATATACGCATGGCCATGTGAGAGCATTTGGAGAGGGAAAGCTGACTCTCTCCACTATCGGCCATACCAGGGCATTTGGGGGCACACCAACTCAAAACCTCAACCAACGATTTGTTCATACGCTATTTGTTCCTTCAGGATACTGGAGCCCATGTACACCATTGGTTTGGGATCTGGTTAAAGCGCCGGACATTCCCTTTTCGTCCTCTCATGAAAACTTATTCCTTGATATTATATGCACCATTGAATCAATAAATGAACGATATTACTGAGTGCCATACAGTTATTAAACAGTAAAAATGTTATACATAGTCCTAACCGCTTATGTGACGAGTAAATATTATATAGAAAATCATTAAGAATAGGAACATTTACAGAAATGAATAGAAAACACAAACTCAATAAAGATCAAATCGAAGGACTTTTAGATTTGATAAAAGAGAATATTTCTATTTCAGATCATGAGATTAGCAATCATTGGTTCGTATTGGAGGACAAAATATGTGATACTAATCAACATATGCTCACTAGGGACTGACTTCAAGTGGTATATCATGGACTTCTAGTGAGAAGTAATGAACAGTGGAGTTCAACTGAGTCAGTTATGAGATAGTAACTCATTGGTGACAATGGTGGATGTGTCGCTCAATTTCGTGGATTAGTTGAAGTTAGACATTAACACCATTGGATGCGGGTCGGATGAGTGGTCTAGTTGGTTAAGCTTCTGATGCGAGACTGATAGATCCTGGGTTCGAACCCCGTGAAACGGGGTCGTGGATGTGCACTGCTGAGGAGTCCCATACTAGGACGAAACGACCGTCCGGTGCTTTCACGTTTTCCATTGTGGTCTAGCCTCAATTGACTCATGATCTCGACTGTTGAGATAATTATAACGTTTTAAATTGATTAGAATCATCAATAATTTATTTGTATAGACTGTTTTCTATTCTTTACAAAACTTGAAATTATTAGTTGGAAGAGATCAGATGGCAGAATAGTTAAAGATACTTCGATTATCTAGTAGCAATCAGTTTATAAGGAACACAGAATCTACCACATATTTGCATAGATCCACTTTAACAGACAGTTAAATCAATTTATCAAGATAAGTGTATTAAAATGATACAAAAGAGAGAGACACGAATTCATATCATTCTGATCAAGTAAATTTTCCTTGTTCCATCCTGATTATAGGTTAATGTAATAGATTTTGAGTTTGATTTCCTTTAAATAAAATCCAAGAATACTACCCAAACTGAAATCAAGCCAGTAGGGTTGTTAATCTATGAACCAGTATTTAGTAGTAGAATTCTATAAAAAGTGGAACACAAAAAAATCTCAGAAAACTAGTTTATCTTTCACCAACATGAATTACTTGAGTCGTAGGCGAGATATCCGTTTGTCAAACAAAGAGTGAGTATACTGATTAACACTTCAATACCTATTACTCTATGGATATGAAACAGATTAGAAAAATAGAAGATATAGGTTTCTGATGAAAGGTATATTTGAAGCATTGTTCGTAAATAATAAAACTATCAGCTGAGTAGATTTGAAGTTTACCACAGGTTTATGAAACTATGTGAATAGCTATTACTCATTGCTTACCTTCATGTGCTACGCTGGATAGCGTATAAATAAGTTGAAGGAAGACTATATTCAGTGATTCAAAATGTCGGATAATATGGCTAAGGATATATCATAATCGTACAGATCCATTAACTCATTACTTTAATCTACATTTTCATTGTCAGTATTACATCATATATATATTTTCATTTGATCTTTTCAAACGAAATCTTCAATTCTTAATCTTTTTGATTCATTACATTATTTCGATTGTTTGATTATTCATATAAGTAATTTCATTTGGTTGTAATGATGTAATATAGTAACTTAGAGTAGGTAATAGTTATTGTGGTTACTGTAGTTATCACTATGCTTCAACTAAAAAGTATATAAATCAGTACTCATTTAAATCATACTGATATCTATTGATTGTTGAGCTTATTAAGAATAATGGAATATTGAATAACCAATAAATTTATATGGATTAGATTAATTATTAAGTATACACAATGTACACAAATATATACATATA